AACTTTCCATAGGTAAAGTATTTTTGACTTTAAAAACTGAGTTTCTTTAATAAGATGGGAGAAAAAATTAGAGTATTTTTTAACAATACAAATGATTATTTTCAATTTTTAGTTTCAAATAAAGATTTAATTTTTAAGATATAAAATGAGATATAGTTAGTAATATATTAAGCTAGTATTTAAAATATTTTTTTTAATAAATTTTACAGACATTTTTATAAATTTTATTTAAAAATATAATTTTAATTTCTATTCTACTATTTAATTTTTAAGATAAATGAATTTTTTTATGTGAAAAAAAGTTATTGTAAAAATTGTAAATCTATACTAGTTAACATATTAAAATTATTCTTTTTAATTTTATTTTTTATTTAAAAAGTACTTTTAGTGTGATTATGAATATTTTAATTTCATTTTTTTCTTAAAATTACTATTAGAAAAATTTGTGAACAATTTATATTCTTCCCCTGTAATATTTTAATCTTATAATTTTTTTTTAAGCGCTTAATTTTTTCATAAACTTTATAATATCAATACATGTTTTTTTAGTGTAAAAAATATTTTTCAAAACTCACTTAAAGAACACATAAGCCATTCTCGGAATATCGTTTTTAATTCAAATTAAACATAATTAAAAAACACTCAAATATATTTACTTCAAACATAACTTTTTAAATATTTTGTAAACCTAGTCAATGAATTCTATCTCACCAAATATAAATTTTATCTCAAATGTTTTTTTATTTTGTACATAGGAAAAAAATACTAAAATAAATACTTTAACATCTTAAATGTTTATGTAACTTTTTATATTCACAACTATTGTTATTCTGATAATAAAATAGTAAAAATGTATGAAATAAGTATTGCTTATCACATCAAAAAATAAAAAAATAATTAATAATATTAAAATTTTTAAAAACAACGATAATATTTAATATATGTAGATTTTAAAAACTTTTTAATTTTTAACATGAGTTTTTTTGTTTATTATTTAACTCATTTGATTAAAATGATAAGTACTACTTAGTCGAAAAATGAATTCTTTTGTAAAAATTTTGGTTCAACTTTATATATACTATCATTTTATTAAAAATTTTCATGTGTTTACTCTAAAAAATTAAAAATAAATATAAAACTAATATTATAAATCATATTTTAGAAGTTTTTACCACTAAAATTAGTTATATATTAGTTAAGAATATCATATCTTTAAGAAGATAGTTAATATTTATTTTATTTATCATCCTTATAATTATATTTTTCACCTAATTTTGTCTAGAATATAAAATATTATATTATTATCTAAAGTCCTACAATTGTTTATATTGATTAACAATATCTTTTTTAGTAATACTTATATAATTTATAATTATTAATTGATTTTTAAATATAATTATTCGTAAAATTTTTTCTATTTCATATTATTTTTTAGTCTTATTATGTATATAATTTTTAAGTTGACTTTTAATAAATTAAAATTTATACACAAAATAATTTTTAAAACTTATGAATTAATTTTTTGATATACATAAAAATATTTTAAATATAAAAAATATAATTTCCTAATCAAAAACTATAAAATTTTTTGTTTTTCAAATATTTTCTAATCTTTTTATGAATCTAGTAATATTTACTGAAGCTAGTTTAAGTATAT